CATTGTACTTTTAGAGACTCGAGGAACAACCAACAACCCTGCATTCTTGGAACGCAATGCCCTACGTAGGACAGTAGGGTATAATGAGTTCTTTAAGGTAAGATGGCGCCTGCCCATTAAGGGCTTTGTAGGTGAGAAGAAGAATTTTATTTATTTTTTTATTCTTTATTTATTTGGGGTCACATTATAGTACAAGTACAGTTTTTCAAATCATATATTTTTAGAGACCCGAAAATGACAAATTAAATAGCAAACAAAATTTGTCAAAAATAAAATAAAAACGAAAAAGTACACAGGGGTTGTTTGAAATGGCAAATGTCTACACANCTACACATGTACATGTGTAGACACTGAAAAATGATTCATATTAAATATTGACAGGTATATTAATATATCATCAGCAAATAATGATAATTTATGTTCCTGTCAGGAACATAAATTATCATTATTTGCTGATGATATATTAATATACCTGTCAATATTTAATATGAATCATTTTTCAGTGTCTACACATGTACATGTGTAGACATATGCTATTTCAAACAACCCCTGTGTACCTTTTTGTTTTTGTTTTACTTTGACTAATTTTGTTTGCTATTTAATTTGTCACTTTCGGGTCTCTAAAAATATATGATTTGAAAAACTATACTTGTACTATAATGTGACCCCAAATAAATAAAGAATAAAAAAAAAAAAAGAAACCCTGCAGGCTGCTCCTCGGATGAAATGGCACAAGAGTGACTGCCCCTGAGATCACATGCCACTCAAAGTGAAGAGGAGGAGGAGGAGGAGGAGGAGGAGCAGCAGGAGCAGGAGCTGATGGAATTGGAGCTACACTAGCTGGGACTGTGTCTGATTGCAGCTCTTGATAAAGAAAAGTATCTGATAGGCAATCAGAGTTGAGGCCTGAGAGGATTTGAACATTTTTGGTGGACTGTGGATTGGAGCAGCTCTTAATCTGGTCGCATATCTTTGAGAGGGATGATGGGATTGTGACACCTGATGTGTCTCCACTGGCCTTTTAAAACCACATGTCAGAGAAGTAAAAGTAACACAAAGTGGGATAATGTGACTATGTTGACGGCAGGTTGTTTTTACAATGTATGGATTTTTGTTTAACTTTTTAAATGGTAAAAAATGGTTCATCACAATTTCTTAATGCCAAAGGAAAAGCCTTCCAATAACTTGTTTTCTGCAATCAAAAGTAAAACAAAACTGAACAGTAATTTTGAATAAATACAGTCTCAGAAACCTTTGATTAAAAATAATTTCAATTGTAGGATTGTACACTTTGTCGGCCTTTAAAGAATTTACATTTTCATGGAACTTGGTGGAAGGGTGTGGCATGGGAAAGAGACAAAACCATTAGATTTTGGATGCATCCAAATGACGGGGGTGATACACAAAATATGTTCCACTTGAAGATTTTCACAGTTACAGACTGGAAATATTCACTTAATGCTCCCTTGAAAAGTCATAGAAATCTTTGTTTCACATTTCATCATTTCAGAATATCCATTCATGTATTTATATAGAAATACTGAAAAAAATGGTGTCAATGCTGTTTTTGTATTAAAGCAGTAAGCCTTTTAACACGCCGGAGTCAGAGGAACAACTTCACAACTCTGTGAATAGGAACATCTGAGGAACATTTGAACGCAGCATTGGTGTGTGTTCTCTGAGTACCATTCTAGTTAAAAGGGGAATTTAAGCCGTTATATTTTTGATTTATACAGTACATGATTGTAATCAAAATGTTTTCTCTGTCCCTTCCTGCAGTCCGTCTTCACTCTTTTTTTGGGGCCTTTCACCTTCTTCAATGCCCAGAAGACCAAATATCTCCAAATTCTCACCTCACTCATGCGCTGGATTGGTAAGAATAAACTAATCCTCACTAACACTGAATACTCAGTTTACATTTATTTAAGATTTTGACTCCTTCACACATCAGGGTTTTCTTTACGTTTCACCAGTCTCCCTCAATTCAAATTCTGTTGTTTCTTTCCGCTTACTCTTTTTCTAGCAACAAGTATTTCCATTTTCTCAGGTGTCTGCCCCCGTTGTCTTTTATCCCTTCCTCCCTCCCTGCCCGGCTGTGTGGCTGCTGCTCGCACGTCTGTCCATCATGGTTGGGTCCTGCTCTGTGTCTTTGATTCCCATCTTCTCTCATTCCTCAGCCTGACAGGCTTGACAGCCCGTCCCAAACTTGATTGGACCGTCACTCACAGGGCGACGGGCGAAAATAAACCGCTGGTCCTGGGCCCTGCTGTTAAAATCATAACACCACTTAATCATGGCGCTCCCGCCACCCCCGCACTGCCGCTCGCTAGCCCGCATAAACAACACAAAATCACAGCAGCATCCGTATACTGGCTAAATTACACCGGGATTATTGAGCTGCACCCTCGTCCGTCCTTACCCTCCCATAGCACGTTACGTATTTGACGGATTTTGTTGCTTTTGCAGAACTCTGACTTAAAATTACTCCAAGGCTTCCTCCAGTTTCAAGTAATATGACAAAAAATGGCATACGAGTCAACAATTCAGATTTAGATTAAAAATTCCTGAAGAAACAAAAACAAATTCTGACATATCTCAAAAACTTCTGGAGGTTATGGTGCGTTCAGGTGGGACTTATTTCCATGTAAACACAAACAAACACAAAAAATACAACATACAGTGCCTTGCAAAATTATTCACCCATTATTCCTTTTTTATTGCATTATATTTTTGACAAGGCTTTCCCAAGACACTTTACTTCATTCCTCATTTACCACTCAAGTTTGCTTGCTCTAGCAGTATGCTTTGATTCATTGTCCTGCTGTGAGGTGGACCTCTGTCCAGCCTCAAATCATTGGTAGGCTGCAATACATTTCAACAACTTAGATTGCACACAGGTTGACTTTATTTAACCAATTATTTAACGCTGAAGGTCATTGTTGGGGCTTCATAGCAAAGGGGATGAATACATATGAACAAACTTCTTTTCAGTTTATTTCTTTATAATTAAAAAATAAAACAAGCTTATTCTTTGTTTTTAATTCCCCAATTTGGACTTTCTTTTGTGTGGGTGGATCACATAACATCTAAATTAAAATCAATGCAGGTTTTAATGCAACAAAATAGGAAAATCACCAAGCGGGGTTAATACTGTACTTTTGCAAGGCACTGTATTTTCCAGAATGTAATTGTAGTACACATATCAATATGATGAAGAAATAATAACATACTCATACGATTAGTAAAAAACCTGAATAAATGCTTTGGCAAGTGTGCTTGATAGACAGCAAGCAGAAACACTTTAAAATGCTTGTTTTTTCAATGGTCATTTGAAGGGGGAATTAACTAAATCATCATATAGACATTAAACAGTGGGCACTTGCCATGCCATTAACTGTCTGTGGTTTGTACACATTTATAAACAATGGATTTTCTCCAGTCCAAAAATTGTGTAGTGATGATGACATTTTGGACCGACATGGATGTAAACTGCGACTAGGCCGGCCAGCTGACCAATCAGAGCAGGCTGAGCTCTGGTTTCAGATAGAGGGGGAAAAGAGGTGCTGCAGTATGAGAGAAATATAGAGCTTTTTGAACATTAAAGCATGACCCCACATCCCCTCCTCAAAATCACTCAGCACATTTTAGATATACCTGCAGTCACATTTGCTGCCCTGTGAGGGGGGGGGGGGGGGGGGACAGGTGTTGATAGTCGGGGTCAGCATCTGGCTGGATCCTCCTGCCCTCGCCTCTGTCCTTGTCTCCGATGTTGCCACTCAGCTGTACTCACCTCCTTGTCCAGTGAGCCCTGTTTTTTTTATACCAAACATGAGTGATGGTGTGGCTGCCTGCTGCTGTGCATGCTGGGATTTTCAATGGTGTGGCCATTAGCTTGGGTCAGTGTGACTCCTACTCCCCAGAACTGAACTGACTGCGGTCATTTCTTTTGCCCGCGGTCCCGCTTAATTGTTCCTTAATTAAATGGGAAGCGGTGCAAAGGGCAGCGTGTGTCCTTAGGCCATCTGTACGCATTTTGCTTGGTCACTGCAACATCTTCAACACTACACTACATACATAATGATGCATTCAACACCTGACATATCTAAGACACCAGTGACCTTTTTATTTAGCATCTGCATTAAAAATGATGAACTATGTTCTGTCATGTTAAAAATGCAGGGATAAGGCGTGCTATCATTCAGGACAAATCAAACTGACTTTGTTTTCCTAAAGAGGCATCCACATGTTTGCAAAACACAAACAATCTATACAATTTGAGTATAAAAATCACATTTGAGGATTTTTTTTCTAATGTCATAATTCACTTCTTTCATGTGGCCAACCCAAAATACACATATTTCTCTTACCTGTAGTTTTATTTGTTTGATGTCATTTGCCAAGGGCCTTCTCCTCAATATTATGTTCCACAAGATGGAACTACTGTTTTTTAAAATGCAAAAAAGTTTATTTAAAAAAAAAAAAAAACTTTAACAGCAATGTCTCTTTCCAGAATCTATGACCCGGTTACTCAAGCTATTCTCGAGTAGACCTCATTCTGCAGTTTTATGAACTATTTTCTTTCTTCCAAAGAACACCTGCCAACTATATATCACTGCCAAGAATGAAGCACCTACATATTTCACAGTGATAAGGTTGGAGGGTGTAGTATCTGTAATGGAAATTATGATTATAAGAGAATGTAATGCTATGATGTTATATTTAACATATAAATAATACATTTCTGTAAGCCTTACATCAGTAAATCTCAGCACTCTCAGAAGGTGATCAGTCACAAGGTGCCATGTGACCACACAGGGGGGGGTCAGTGATCTGGTCATTGGTCTATTGTACTCTGATAGTCATGGCTCAGTCATCTCATGACTCAGACCTCATTTTGCGTTTTCAAAAAAGTATTCTGTTCACACGTATTCGGCTCAATTAACCTGTCCGTTCACACGAGACTGCTCGACCTGCTGGAAACACTGTAGTACATATGCCGGGCCTGTAATACCTCATTCACAGCAACACAACTCCGGTTGTGACGTATGTGGTGCTTTTGCTCTGGCCGGACAATTTTTTGGTGCATGAAACGAACCGGATTCCGGAGCTAAGAGGCTGCTCCGCTGCGGTGTGAAGAGGCAAACCCGGTGCTTTTCAAGCTCCAGCTCGAACCGGCCCTGAAACACCGTTGGTGTGAATGTGGTATGACAAAAATAGTGCGTAACAACAGCTGGAACTTTGGCGACAGTAACTTAAAACGGCAGCACTGATTGAAGTTTGTCTGCCAAAGCTGATGAAAATTGCTTATAGTAGCATCTGCCTTAGCAATGGTCTTCTCTCCTTAGCAGCGATCTGCTTAAAAAAAAAAGCAGACCCTTTGAATGTCCATATTGACCAATCAGAATTAAGTATTGAAATAAGCAGTGTAATAATGAAAATTGTTTGCACATTGGCCAACATGAGTGCTTAAAATAAAAATATTGACCCCACCCAAAAATATTACACCGTGTGAATGAGGCATAATACCTCATTGACACCAACGGTGTTTCAGGGCAGCGCTGCTGCCGCCACAAAATACACCAAAAGCAGCAAAGAAGACCCCGGAGCATGGTTGCCATGGTTGCCCTTCTGTTTATTCTCCGCGGTGGATGGCGTGTGCTCCTGCTGTAAATCTCTCCGGTAGTCCACCAGCAGATGAAAAACACCCACCTCTCAGTCTCTTCTGACAGCCCAGCAGCTTATCTCTGAGCAGGAGACGTAGGGAAAGGTAGGCGGGGCTATTTCATCGTTATCAGAAAATGATCGTATAGGGCGTACACACGGAGCCGTTTGACCCCCCAGAGCGTTCCGTTTGCAGATATATCCACCTTGGGACCCTTTATCGTTTGCAGGGTCCATTTCTATCGTTTTGTTACGGCCTTGTGTAAACGAAAGGGCTATACGCAAGAGAAACTATGCGGATACAACCCGTATTGTCCTCGTGTAAACGGGGTCTAAGCATGCATTCATTGTCACTGTATAAAAGCTCTCTCTTTAGTTTGAGTAGTTGCACTCGGCTGTGGAGACATTGCTCTTCTTGTTGCCTCTTTTGCAAAAGATGAAAGTACCAGAAAGACATCTCTTTGACTTGTTAATATAAGAATTTCCACCACATTTGCTAGATAGAAAGTAGTTGCTACATAAAACTGCTAAACAACATCTGTAAACTATGGAGCATCATTTTTAGAGAGATACTTTGCCTTTCTGTTTTTCAAATGATTTATTTTCCCTCTTTCAGCAGTATCTTGTTCCAAAACAAACAAAACGATGTATAGCCCTACAGGTAAAAGGAAAGATATCCCTCCTGGACAAAATCACGGGAAAAGTTACAAGAATTCCCATTTTGCAATGGTGGATCGTAACCAGGTGTAAGTAGAGCTTAAAAATGCAAAAAGAAGAAACAGGAGCGAGAGATCAAAAGTAGAGAGTAGGCAATTTTTTGAACGGGCTGTTCATCAGCTGATCAAAAGTTTAAGCCCATAGCCTTAAAAAGTCAAAATCTGCACAACAATCTGGCTTTCATGTAATTTTCCCTCAGGCATTCACACTGTCATGACCTCCAGATGGAAAAGGCTTTCTGTCTTTGAACGTGGCAGGATTGTTAAGCTGCACAAGCAAGGCCTCTCGCTCTATCGCTGCTGAGGTTTGACGCAGTAAGGCGGTCATTTTAAATTATATATACACACAAATAAAGAGAAACTTAACACCCCTTTGTACCTTTCCCTTAGTATACTCTTCCTTCCTCCATATATATGGACATAATGTAGTGGATAACTTTAACACCATGCACTTCCTCATCATTCATTTCCTTCTAAATTTCAAGAGCTTGTTAAC